AGCGGGGAGCCTCTCCTGCCGGCCGCACGCCGCACTGCTGAGGGTCCAACTGCTGCCTGCAGGTCCTGCTCCTTCAGGTGCTTCTGGGGCAACTGCTCCTGCCCCGCTGGCCCAGCTCTTGCTAACTCTTTGAAACTCCTTCCTCATGGTCCCTCGCTGGTCTCTCCTGAGTCAGCCGCACTGCCCCTTTTATCCCCCTCCAGGTGACCCAAGGGGCCAATCAGGGGACATGGAGGGTGTCTCTCCGGGGCCTGATTGGTGAGGAAAGGGAATTCCAAACCCTCCAATCATCTTTCGCACTTTCTGGGGGGCACGGGTCCCCCCTGCCCTTTGGGTCCCCTCCGGGCCAAATCATTACCAGCTAGCCTGTCACATCAGAATTGACCTGAGGACAGAGTTAGGTGACAAGAAAAAGCAAGCTCCAAAAGTGAAGTTCTTCCAGTGAAAAAAACTTAGGTACTGGCCGTGGGAAGTTTATGCTCTCTAGCTGGCACTAATTCTATCAGCATTATAGAGAATAAGAAAGAAACAATCTCTTGGTTAAATGAACACCACTACATTGGGCCACTGACATACTAGTAAACACGAATGAATGGAAAGAGCTGAAAAGATCTTGGAAGTGAGGACAAGAAGTCTGGACTTGAATGAATGATACTAAAATTAATTAAAAAAAAAGATACATAGCTACATTAAATCAAGGAATGTTTATCGTGAACCCAAATTTATTTTCTGATTAAATTTCTTGTTTCATGATTTCTCAACTATCCACTTTTTGAGTAAAGCTATTCTGAGGGACTTTCAGCTCCTGTTAAGCGTTGCTCCAGAACAGCTGGGTTGACTAATGGGCTTCTATCGCAGACGGCCAGGTTGGTTCAATTAGCGTCATCTTCCCTCTCTGGAGGCACATCAGTTCTTCCTCATTCTGACAGAACATCTGCAATGTCACTTTATTGAAAGAAAAGGTTTTGGATTTCCTAAAACATAACATAGGAACCTCCATAAAAGTTGCCAGAATGTGCCAAGGAGTGCTGCCGATTCCTGGACAATTAATGCTGACCAAGACCATGTCCTCTGCAAGCCTGTAGAAGAGTTGCTTGCAAATGTAGACATGCAAGTGAAATGTTGAGGGATAATGTTGGGGGGGGGGGTTTGCCTGCCATGTTGGGTTGTGGGCAGCCAGGTCTAGGGGTCACTCAGGGCTCAAGGGGCAGATGGGTCAGGAGGAGTGAGCAGAATCCAGATATAGATGGGTCAGGAGGCCAAGGGGTCAGTAGGCAAACAAGGCACGTCACAGAGCAGGAGGATTAGACAAAGTGCAGAATCAGAGGATGAGCCAGGAGATCAAGCAGACAGCAGGATCTAGGGATCAAGCAGGCAACAGGATCTAGGGATAAAATGAGTCCAGAAGCTGAAGTGTTGGCTACAAATGTCCAGCTCGGGATCCTTAAAATTCTAGTTTATTAGGCGGATTGAAACACTGTAATGAATTAAATCATAAACCTTGGGGCTGGTCCCCACACACACATGCACACACATACACACACACACACAGTAGCAAGCTACAGTCAGGTATACCTATCCTACAAGCGCTGGAGTCTGCCGTCGATGGCCAGTCGAGGCTTCTTTCAGCGTGGTGTTATCCTCCAGAAGGGGGTTGCCGACTGGTCCTTCTGGCTGGACAGGTCTGGTCGAGTTGGAGATCAAGAGGGCGCCACTGAGGGTCACTTTTCACTGCCTTTTATCTGTCCCTGGCAGACTTTGGTGACTCCCCAGTTTTCAGGTTTGCCCAATCCAGGGGTCGTTGACCCTCGTGGGACTTCCCCTCTGGGAGCGGTTGATCTGGAGATACTCAGCCCAAAAGTTGGTCCCTGGCGTTGATTAACTCAGGCCAGGGCTTCTAGCCCTTGATCAGTGAGGTTTAGAGATTTCCCGGTTGTTACATTGTCTTCTATTGAATTCTTCCCTTGGTTGATCTGCAGCTTCCAGGTGTTAATAGCTGTCTGCTACTCTGTTACACATTCAATCACGTTACACATTCAATCACTGGTTCACTCGCTCTTTCAGGGGCCAGCCTGATACAGGGAAGGGCAGTTTGATTCCTGCCCTTGTTAACATTGTTACAATGTATAACTTACTTATGAAACTAAAACACATTTAGTTGAAAGTTGAAAGGTGAGGAGTATAAAATATAAGCTACAAATGCCATGGCACACAAATAGATAAAAATACCAAAATACAAGGGGAGATACAAAATGCACACACACAAATTTTAAAACACAATTCCTTATCTTAAAGTGAAAGAGAGAGGAAGGAAGAAAAGGTAGAAAAAGAGAAACATATCCAAAGAGGGGAGAGCAAATGCAGGCAAGAGGAAAAGTGGGCTTTCTGCTACAGAAGGTTCAGACAGAGTGCGGAGTCAGAAGGTAAGGTGTGTGAGGTAGCCAGGAAAGCAAGTGGAGCGCAGGCAGAGGCACCAGCCATAAGGAACAGTGAGGCCATCTGGGTAAGGGTTGACCCCTTCACCCAGACACTACGTCTTGTAGTCAGGGGTTTATATGAGAGGGACTGAAGTTTCAGCTGAACCTGGCCAGCTGCTCCAGAGGATGGCTAGCCCAAGACAGAAGTTTCTGGCTACCTGTGCTGAGTCCGGCTGGTCAGCTGGAGAAATGGCAGACTGGGAAGAGCAGCCACTTGAGGCAGGCTGAGGCTCGATGTTTGAAGTTGTGTCCTGATATGAGCCAGCTCCCATGCAACAGTCAGTTTCTCCTTCCTGACCCCACCGCTGGCCTGGGGGGATCTGCATGGCCTGTGTACATCCCCCCCAGCCACTCACAAGTTGGATAGCCCCGGCATAGGTTGTCTACAGTTTTCCAACTTCCTCAGCTGTAAAAACAGCCCCAGGACACACCTCTGACATAAGGCATACAAAGAAGAATCATGAATGCAGAGCCACGTAGGGCATTTATACACGGGTTTTGGGAGTGGTGTTAGGGCATTTTAATTGGGTGGCTCTGAGAGCTGTTCTAATTAAAGCAGCTGGAGCTTCTTGTGTATCAGCATCCCCACGCTTCAAAATGGTAGACCAGGAGTCACGGGGGTTGCACGCCGTTAGGCCAGGTGGCTCCATGCTGCCACATGCAGCTCCCCCCTGGAGTGCTGGCAGCCCCATGTGGAAACACAAATGCTGGCCTAGCTTCCAGCTCCTCCTGACTGAAGATCCAGGAGGAGCTGGGCAGGGTCACTTTGCTCCAAGCAGCACAATTTGCCTCACACCAAAGTGCATGTCCAGGCACATGTGCTGAGGTATACATTTCTGGCAGAAATTTGAGCCGCTGCTATTTGAGCTGCTGCAAGCACACATGCCTGCAGGTGTAGATGTGCCCTGGGGCCACATCCAAATGAGTGTGGACATTTGTTTCCCTGGGGGCAGGAAGCAGTGGCACACCTTGTGTTGCTGCTACTTGTTCCCAGGGAATGCCTGTGCCACGTGCCCTCTGGCACTTGGTAGGTTACCCTGGGTGAGGTAGGGGAGGCTGGAACCAGCCCAACAGCCTTACCTGGGGCCCTGGGGGTCTCCTGGGGCTGGAGCAGCAGTGATCCTGCCACTTGGAGCCAGCCAGGCTCTGGTTTTGGCCAGTGCATGCTGCCCCCATGCGTACTACTCCACCTTTTTGTGCAGGCTTTTTTGACCCCAGGATCTCCTGCAGTCAATCCCTGCCCCCCTCCCCCCTCCTGCACTGCTGCAGCAAGGAAAACAGCTTTATGTGCAGTATGTGGTGCCACAGATGTGTCTGCAGTGCTACATACCGCATAGCCATGCTTGTCTGTATGTGGCCTGGGTGCCTTGCCTATGCTGGACCCTCAGAAACTGTCCCTGGCTGCTTCTGCCGCAGCTACAATGGCTTCATGTCCTCCACCATTAGCATTGTGTCTGTGCACCAGATGTTGCTGCTAGAAGCAGTTTCATGGGACTGCTTCTGCTGCCAAGGTGTGGAATCCACAGGGTGGGGGTGCAATTGTGGGGCTCCTACTAAGTTGCTCACACACCCCAGCTTCCACTACTGCATGATAATATTTTCCTGGGTTTGGTAACATACAGCTGAACAGTCAAATGCAGGCAGTTCCAGGGAAGAAGATGCAATTTTTGGAGAAGATTGGTATAGAAAGGTTGGTCTTCCTGCACCCTCTCAGTAGCATTTTTACTTCCAATTCCAGAGTCCCTGGTGCAATTTAACTGCCTGCTGTCTAGAGACTCACACACTGCCAAGGAGATTTCTCTTGGTGTTCTGGCTTCCAAGCTGATTAAAGGAAGTGCTGAAATACTGTTTTACCTTGTGTAGCTATTTCACAGTAGCACTCTTGGTGATAAGGCACTGATCCCCGTGAGGTCAACAAACAACAGGTTTCCACAACGCATTTTATCGAGGTGGCACATTTGAAGCAATGCTGGTTCACATCTTTCTCAAGGACAATTCTACAGGCTATCACACGGAGCTGGCAGAACTAATTGCTGTACAACAAAAAAGTGTTACAGGCCAATTTAAGATCTGTTTGGTGCATGGGTGCGTAAGGTTTAGAGACAGTAAATCCAGTGTTTGCTGAGTGCAGAGATAAACCGGATGAACAGGGTTTTGTGTTTGTTTGCGCTCATGGAGGGAACAAGGTCAGTGTGGTGCGTGTGCATTTCCCATTAACAGCAAAGGCACCCACGCAGACTATGATTTCCAAACACCAGTTTAATCCAGCGCTCAGAACTTGATGGTACTTTTAGCTATAGCCAGCACATTTATTCTAACACCTATTAGGAACTGAAATAACTTAAGCTACTGATAGTTTACAACAAGCTACATGACAGAAATGCTTTCAAATGTCAGTGAAAACACTCATGAAATGCTGGGAAATGGAAATCTGAGAGGGAGAAGCACACAGGCACAGGCAGGCAGAGGTAGACAATATTGATCATGTGCAATGATTACCTGTTAACCCATTTATGCTCCCCATTTGCAGAGAAAAGTGATGACCCATTGGAAAAAAACCCTCTTCCTCATCCCATATACCCAGTTTGTTCATAATTTAAGCAATGCTCTTTGATTCTCTCTGATGTGCTTTTCTGCCTAGGAAGCCATTCAGTTCTGGGGGCCACTTAGTCTTTCCCATCTCTGCCAAGATAATATTCCTTTTTGTAGCCTGTAAATGACCTTTCCATCACATTTGTCACCAACTCTGATAGATGTCCCTTTTTCTTCCCTTAAGGGCTGGGGAGAGGAGGCAATTTTCCCATTGGAAAGACCCTAAGAAAGGAAGTGATCAAAATCACTGGAGAAAGGATCAGGGTTAAGTTGAAGAGAATGTGCCACCTCCCCCTCCATCCCCCTCTGCCTCCAAGGAGCAGAGCTAGGGAGGGGGGTGAGGCCAGCGCTGCTATCCTTGCCCCCCTCAACTCCAGCCCTGCGGGAGGATGGCGGGGAAAGCACCGACATGACAGAGGGGACTGAAGGGCCGGAGCAGAGGGGCGAGGCCAGCACCACTGGCCTTGCTCCCCCACTGTGTCCCTGCTCCTTGGAGGCAGAGGGGGACAGCGGGGACAGCGCCATCATGACAGTGGGGATCGAGGGGCTGGGGGGAGCCAGGCCAGCGCTGGTGGCCTCCCTTGTATTATATTAGAATATACAGAAAAGGTGAGAGAAACCCATGTGGAACTCTGTGTCAATTAAAATGCCACCCAGCTGTTATCTGCTTCATGTGCCATGACTTATCCTGCTTCTGGGCACTCAGGGAAGCCCTACCCTCCCTTTCTGCTCCCTCTCCATCTGGGTTATGACCCTGGGCCCTTTAGCCACTGTCTGGTGGTGGAAGTTCCAATTTGTTTGACTGTATCAGTCATTCCCTGACTTGTAACAGGGACTCTGAGCTCAGGCTTTTCCTCAGAATGAAGTCTCAGCATCGATTCTCAGTTTTTATGGGAGGGAAAGAAATGAGCAAAAGGGCCATTACATAATAATCACCCTCTTCCCCTTCTTTGCAGAAGCAAACATATTCAGCCACTACAAAAATGATGAATAAGGAGCAGAAGCTTGCATTACAAGGTAGGGTGGATTAAGTACAATATGGCTTAATCATGCTTCTCAGGTTAAAGAGTGTGCCTCTTTCTCAGTCTGTAAAAGTAGGGTCTGAAAAAGTTCAGGAGAGCTTAGGGAAGAAGGTAACCTTGCCTCTGGATCCTTGCCTCTATGTAGAAGACATGTTTTACTTTCTCTCTTTCCCATGTCAATCCATTTCTAATCATAGGACACCTGGCTCTTTACAGGTCTCTTTGTAAATGCTTCAAAATCTTTGATTGAAAGAGTATGAAATTTAATTTTTTGGAAAATAGCAGATTGCCACATCAAAAGAAGATGTCATATTGTAACTGTCTCTTATAAGGAATTTACTCAGCCTCTTCCGGCTTCTCATTAAAGCTTTCATGAAGGCTCTGCAGTGCCTCCTGTTTTGTTATTTTATACCAGTCCTCTGGGAGATCAGCAGGGCAAGCATTATATTCCTTAGCAAACTGCTGATTGAACTCCTTAAAAACTTCCAGTAATCAGAAGCATTAATGCTGGGATCTGGCTGGATACGCCAATCTGGAAAAATCTGGCGATAATCTTTATAGGGATGAAATTCTCCATTTGTTTCTGCACATCTAAACCTGTGGCGGGAAACCACAGCAGAGGAGCATATGTCATAGTTAAGTAACTTTGTTTCATCCCAGTGGCACTTTCCTAAACCTTTGGGGCGATGGATGGATGCAAAGTGCTCGCTGTGGTGTTTGCCTCCTCCCTCACAGGGAATTTTGCAGAATGGACACTGTTTCCCGCAGCCAAACACTCGTTTAAATATTTCATCCTGGGGTCTCACTGGAAGTCTGGAGAGTTTTGACTTCAACTCCTGCTTTTCAAAGCTGACTAAGATTTCTCTTTTGAGATCAGGAATACATTTCAGTAGAAAATCTGAAAAATTACCTGCACTTTCTTTGTTTTTAAAAAGTATCGCTTCAAAACTCTCCTTGGGAATGACAAGGTCCTGCTGCAGTGCCTCACAGAAGCAGTGTAAAAAGGCAGAGACTGTTTCAGTCTCCCCACCTGTGGAGTTGTTCAGAACATCACTGACTTTCTTGATAATTGCAGACAAAATCCTTTCCTCCAAGTCTTTAAGCCTTGCCTACTTTCTGTAATGAGTTAACAACTTCTTTTGTATCCAGGTTTTGACAAAATCCATGTAATTCATTATGTAGCTCACATAGCTGTCAAAATTGTTCTTTTTCAACAGCTTCTTCAGGACACAAAATTGGAAAAAAGTCCAGTTGTTGTACTCAGTTGACTGTTCACTGTGCAGAAAATCATCCACAATTTCTGTCCCAAGCCTCTTGTTCACATAGTCCTCCAGTGCAGGTCTCAAGCACTGGGTGCAGAAATTCCTGGCCCTCTTTTGACCTCCATCTCTCTTGAAGTAAAGATCTTTGAATGTGGAGAGGTAGTGAGGCTTCAGCTTCTCCAGGCGGTGCTGAGGGTCATTTTCTCTAATGAAGTTTTCATGCATCTTCTGGAACGCTTGAGCTGCCTCCCCTAGAACGTGAAGTTTCAGTTCAATTTCAAAGCGTGCACTAGTTCTTCTGTATTGATCATTAATATGGTGAAGGTGCTCATTAATCATACGCAACAGCTCCCTGCAATAAGTTTCATCATAATCAGCTTTGGAACTGACCTTTTGTGCAATATAGTTCTTGCATTTATCCACTAAGGATTTCGCCATAGCATCTACCTTATGAAAACATTCTGGTGGAATCCGTTCCTTCCGACGTGAGAAGATGGCTTGTGTCCAATTTTTGTTCTCTGTTAAATCTATGTATTCATGTCTCATTTTGAAAGATCCCATATTGTAAGCAGACAATCTCTGGGCCCCTCCTAATATCTGCTGTACTGCGCTCCCTTTGTTTTCTACATCTTTTCTCAGACGCATCTCCATTTCTTCATATATGTTACGTTTATGTAAAGGAATAAGTAATAACTCTGACAAAATTTCCCTCCACGTTTTTTCAAATTCTTCATCAAGTGCATTACTGGTTAGCTTGCCTTGGCTTTTCATGCAGTGCTGCAGCAGACTATCAACTTTCTTGCCAACCTTTTTATTGTACTCTAATAGAACGGCATCTATCCTGTGTTGGCCTTTGGCAATTCGAACTGCTTCTTGGCACTTGCTGAACGAGTAATGCTGCAGGTCAGTTCTGAGACCTTGTACACTCCTGATAAAATCTTCCCGGTACTTCACAATCAGGTGCAGATTTGGTACCCCACTTTCAAAATAAAGTTCCAAACTATGCAAGATTTTATCTGCTTCCTGCCTCAGCTTCTCCTGTGTCTCGCTCTGAAGTCTGGGTTAGACACTGGCGTCTAGCACATCTGGTGGCTGATTTGGGATGTAAGTTTCCTTTTCAGACACCCAGAGGTGCATGGCCTTGCGGAAGTCCCATTCCCACTCTCCATACTTTTTGGACAGCTCGCTATAGGCTTCAGCCACGAGGCTGTTTCTGAAGCTGAAGATGAAGTTCTCGTGTTTCACAGCATTCCACAGACTCTTCATCCATTCAATAAGCTGGGGAATGTCTTTGACATGTCTTGTTTTAGGCTGTTTGCTCATGAACTCAAACAAATATTTCTTCAGCTCGCTCAAACGCTCGCTGTATGCTATGTTCACAGAAGCCATGGGGGGATCTCCATGCCACAGCCCAGGGATGTACCAGTTGTGTTTCTCTGCATCATAGTCCATAATGTCTGAAAATTTCAATTGCTTTTTTAAGTTTTCCATCCTTGTTGCAGCTTTAGTCATTTCATTCAGTTGCTCCAGCAGGTTTTTCCTCTCTCTCATGTTTTGGTCATGGGCAGACACATCACTGACATTCTGATGCACAAACTGGCAGTTGGGTTTTATCCCAATTTGCTCCATCCTAAGAAAGGAGTGGACTGCAATTTGCAGAACATCCTTCATCTCGGTGGCATTCTCCATGGCCATGTTCACAATGGTGATATTACTCAACCCAATCACCAGGGTAGCCAGCTCATTGTCATGTTCATAGCTGTCCTCCAGCTTGGCCAGTTCAGGGGCTTTCAAGTCTTCTGTGTCAATCACCAGAATGAAATCACAGCCCAGCTTCTGTTTAAAGTCCTCCCTAATTTTAATAAGCAACATGAAGGCTCCCCGCGTGCATCGGCCACTGCTCACGGCAAACTGCAGGCCAAACATGGTGTTGAGCAGGGTGGATTTCCCTGTGCTCTGTACCCTCAGCACTGTTAGCACCAGCATCCGGGACCTTCCCCCCAGCTTGGTGTGGAGTTGAGTCAGCACATCTGTCACCCACTGCAGCGGGATGTTGGAGGCATCTCCATCGATAAGCTCCAGAGGAAACCCTTCCAGCATCAAATCAGCTGCAATGCCTGCAAGGTGGGTGAACTGCCTTTGGCTTTCTGCCTTTTTTCTTTCCTTCACCATTGAGTATTCAGCCTCATAGGCCTGCCCCAGCTCTCTCATGAAATGCTCCATCCCTAGGGAACTGGCTGAAATTAATTTATCTAGCTCCTTTAGCTGCTGTGGAGCACCCCCTCCACGTTTACGTTTCTCCTTATATTGTGCCCGTAGCCCAGAGAGATGCCCTCTAGCAATGTCATCCAGCTGAAACTTCAGCCATTTCAGGAAGTAGTGTTTCTCCACTGCAGGGAGCTGTCGTAAAGCAGTAATAAATTTAATCACACCAGGAGTAAGCTCATAATTGTGTTGTTCTCTACGTAACTTAGACTGCTCTGCTCTCAGCTGGGATCTATATTTCTCAGGTGGGGTGTCCCCTTGTTCTCTCATTCGGCACACCTCTTTTTCCACTTTAGCCAACCTTTTCCACAAGTCTCCTTGAAGCCTCAGCACTTCCCTTTTGTACTTTGCCACATCTCTTATTTCCATGGTAATGCCTTTTGACCATTTTTTCCCCACCTGACATGCCCCCAAGTCTTCGTCCACCCGAATTCCAAGTTCGCGTGCTGCAGCAGCCATATCCGTGATGCTCATTTTCTTGTGAGAAGCCTTCATTAGGTTTCTCATATTTGACTGTATTTTTCTCACAAAATCTACCTCGCTGATATTTCTCTGTCTCACTAGGAGGTGTGTTCTGTTGAGTTTCAGCACTGGGGTTAGCCGTCTTAGTGATTCCACTGTTTCCTGGGTATTCCCATCCCGGCAGGTGAGGATGAAGTAATAGTCAGCTGTTGATCCCTGCAGAGATAATAGAAACTCATATTCTGCCTGGCTCACACTGTCAGTAATAATGAACACTGCTGAGGAGACCCTTGTTAAAAAGCAAAACTGCAGTGGAAATGATTTGATGTCTCCCCGCAGGTTTGCAACTGCAACAGGCTCTGGGAAAAGATCCGAAGTCTTCCGCACCCCAGGGAAATACCAGGATATCTCCACCAACCCATCTGCCAGTGTCCAAGGGACATTCCCAGACACCATGTCCTTGTGGACAAAGAAATTGTTGTGCTGCTGGCTGGGGCTGAGAACCTCATTGAGGAGTCTAGATTTGGAGAGGCTGCAGCGCCCCAGCCGCACAAAGGAAATGGTTGGCATTTTAGCGAGCACCAGCTTCTCCTCTCTGAACCCCCTTTTCTCTGCCAGGGGCTGTGGTGTCCACTTCTTCACAATACTCCTCATGGACCAAAGCAGGAGGGTGCACTCAGGGGTCTTGAGGGCAGTAAGCAGCAGAGGGAGGGCAAACTGGCACGTGGACATTTTGGACAGGATCTCCTGCTGAAGGAAAGCATCTGAGCAATGGAGGATGGCACAGATCAGGTCCAGGGGGTTCACAGATAGGTCAGGGTCAATGTCACTACAGGCAAAAATGTCATCACCAATATCCTCATTGTCCACCCTTCTCTCTTGATCATCAAGTATGTTGTGCAGCAGGCCTGAACTTCTGGCCCCTCCATGCAGAACCATGATGTTCCTCAGGAAAAACCAAAGCAAATCCTTCAGTGTCTGAGGAGTCCAGTCTCCTATGCTTTCTGAACTGATCTCCAGAACATCAGACATCTGGAGCTTCTTCTTTCTTGACTTTGACATTTCTAACTTTGACTCGAGGTACTGGCGTGCTTTCTGTCTCTCTGCAGGACGAGGAGGCAATGTAAACAGGGCTGTGGAGTGGAATAAGTTTTCAGGTATAAATGTTGATGTTTTAATGTTGATTTTACAATATTAGGGGGATTGTAAAGTGCGAGTAGAAGCAGTAGAAGCTCTAACTAACCAACAAGTGTGGTTACAGCCAGTTTACAGGGCTGTAAACTGTGCCCTCCTAGGTGGCCACCTCCTACCCTCAGTCCCACTGTATCTAGCTACAGTGCCCTCCTAGGTGCCCACCTCCTACCCTCAGTCATGTGGAGCAATAGGCATAGCTGGACCCATCTGTGACTCAATCAGTATAGTTTAGCTGTTATTCACTGCAGACAGTGAGAGATTTTTTTTCTGTCTTTTCCTTGCCCCAGTTTTACTCTTGTTATCTTAAACTGAGGCAAGAACTAAGGTTGAATGCGACTGCTTGTTACCCTCCGTGGTTAGCCAGTTTCTGGGGACTTGCTGTCTTGTTTCCATTAAGTGAAGAAATTGGTAAGAAGATGCAGATACATTGTTGGCATGATCCTGTTTACTTTACAAAGGCCACAGTGGGAATGAGCAACAGGCAGTGTCTTTGCTCACGCTGCCCAGTACTGCTGTTCCCATGAGTTCTATGCCTGGTAAAGTCTGCCTCCCTCCTGCTCACTGTCACCCTCAGCCCTTCATCTCTTACACAGGGACCGGTCACTCCTGGCATCTCCCAACTCTTAAGTAAGGCTTAAATTCCATGGTGAAAAGCAGTCAGGAGAGGAAATACCTCTGGCACAGCCTGTCTCTTTTGGCTCTTGGACTCGGTGAGCATCTAATGTCAGTCCTGGGCACAAGACTTCTTTCCCTTGTACTGCAGGGGTTTGTGGATCCTCTGATTCTTGATTTAATCCATCTATCAAGAAAACCAGATGCTTATATTAAATACAGACTTATCCCCTGTAATCACTTCCTCTGTTGGGTGTGCTTGCTCGATGAGGTAGAGGTAAGTACTGCCTCTGCTGCCCAATGCACAGTTCCTACACGTTAGTAGAGCACTGGATTGCCTAGCACAGCTGGTTCACTGCTCTATGAAACTTCTCATAGAAACTCTGATGGAGGCAGTATCATTCTTGTCTCTGAACTCCTTTAACTGGCACAGGGGTTAATTCTCAGATCTCTGCCACTACAGCTGTGCCAAGATAGCTGTCAGCAGTGCCCTGTATTGGTAATGAAGCGTGAACTTTTTTTCTGACAGCATAGCTACTCCAGGTCCCTGATAGTACAAGCTAAAACAGCTGAAGCCATCTTGTGTGGACAGAGCTGTGTTATAGCGGTGATTATTCTGGCATGGACTTGTTTTGCTAAGGGGTATAATTTTTTCATACTGCTGGCCAAACAGCTCTTCCAGCAACAATTTGTAATATAACCCAAGCCTGTGTCACATACTGAAATACTGGAGTTTGGAGCTCCAAGATGGCGCTCTCTACACTGGATTCTCACTAGCCCAGTTTCTATCCATGTTCTCCAGTCTGTTTCCAGTAAACTGTGGTGATGTATATTGGGTTGTCTTTGACAAACAGTCCCACACCAGGTTCCATTACTCTGTGAACCAGGGGACATCAAAACACATGGCGGTGAATCCAGATGGGGGGTTTTGGAGCATTATTGTTGTGTTTTGTGCCCCAACATGCTAACTCTATCTGAGGCTTGTGTCGGTGGCAGCTTAGTCAGGACTAAATGCCCAGTTTGCCAAACCTGACAGAGACTTTAACTAACGGCCCCACCCCATCCTGGCTACTGTTAAGAGGTGTTTATACACGTGATCTGGGAGGGGGGGCAGGGGAGGGCGCTTTACTTAAAGCAGCTCCAAGAGCCACTCTAAAATGCCCAAAGCATCATGTGCATCAGTGTCCCCATGCTGAAAAATGCCGGCAGGGGCAACAATCCCTAGTTAAAGCACCCCTATTGCCACATTTCAGCTTGGGGGTGCTGCTAGACATGATGCTAGAGTCTGCTGGACAGCAGTAATTACCATGCACAAACAGACTCATTAATTGAGTCCGCTCCGATGTGCTATAATTACAGATGCTCATGCCCCCTGTATGGCTCTGGGTCCCCCAGCTCCTATCTCTAGCCCTCTCCTAGTGGCCCACCCGCTACGTCAGACCACCTGTGCTCCAGTTCTTCACAATTTGGCTGAACACTGTTCTTCAGATAGCTTCACTTGGATTCTGCATGATCCTCTCCTCCATATTTTCAAAAATGGATAGCCTGATTTGAGCAAAAATAGTGAACTCTAGGGCATCTTGAGAAAACATATTCCATGGCTAGGAAATCAGGAAAGCCATGCAGCACATTCATACTTCCAGCCATTGTTACAAACAAAAAAGTTAAAACATCTTCCCCTTTAATGAAAAGCATGAGGTTTTGAAGCACACTTCAGGAGCAACTGTTAGGATACACAGGACACTGTATATCATTGAATGAAAATTTATCAATGCACTGGGATTTAACTTTCCTAAACAGACTGATGTGCTGTTGACATAGACATCTCTAAGGCCAAGCATTATTTAATGCAGCATTGTAAAACTCATCCAGCCCCACAGGCTGGATGCATCATTTGGCCAGTCCACCGGCCAGATGGGGACCACAGACCCCCTCCCTTTCCTCTTCTCCTTCCCCCAACATACCAGATCCAGCACCTGCCACAGCGGGTTTGGGACCCCTGCTGCAATCCACACTACATGCCCACGGCTGGACTATGCCACATGCAGCACCTGTTCTTGATGCTCTGGGATACACAACAAATGTATATGCACCCACCAGTGCTGTGCAGTCCCAGCATGGCCAGAGCAGGCACCACATGTGACATGAATCCTGGGCAGTTCCCACAGCGCTGATCCAGGATGTGCAGCACTGTGTGAATCTGCTTAGGTCCATGGGCAGCATCAAGGGCCAGATGGCAGGGCTCCAAAGGACAGATCTAGCCTACAGACCATATGCTTGACACCTATGATTTAATGGAGAGGTGGAAAATCTAGCTGCTTCCAGGGTCATTTCACAAACATTTCTTTTATGTTGAAATTGCCTATTGGTTTGAGAGATTTATGAAACACTTATAAGGCTTCTTCCACATCTACTGAAATCAATGAAATACTTACCTCCACCAGCTAAAGGTGTGGATTTTTGTGTCTATTTCTATTGTACCGGTAAGTGTAGCAGGTAAACTGAGTCTAGCCCTTCCTGGAACTAAGCAATACAATTGTACAAAGTGCCTTATGAGGCAGTGGAAAAAATAAGTGCTGTGATTGGTATGGTGGGTGAACCAGATACAAGAGTTTCCCTATAAGGAAAGAAAACCAAAAACTCAGTACGGTTGGAACACCTTATCTAAAAAGTTAATGTATGGAACCTAAAGACCGGACAATTTGGGATGAGAAAGTTACAAAAGTAATGGACAAACAAAGAAAAAGGGTGATTTTGTGCTGTATCTCTAGGGAGGCAGGGGCAGCCATGGGTTTCTGCTTGAATAGCTGGAAAGTCAGAAGCAAACATGCCATACATCTAGTGGAGGACCCAAGGCCGGTACCACCAAAGGTCACTGCTGTAACATCTAGAGGAGCCACTTGCCAGCTCATATTATAGGGAGAAAACCTGTAATAGTGGTTAGGGGCTACTATTAAAGTTCACTAGATACCAAGTCAGATAAAAGGGCCGTGTCAATCCTTAGAGGGTCTCAGGCAAAAAGAATCCTGTTGGTAAGAGTAAAAGTCTACACATAGGGTCCACAGAATAGATCAGTAAATTGTTGTCTTATACATAACACAGAGCAATCTCTTTGGTAATGTCTTTGTTCCTGTAAGTGTTGGGGGGAGTAATAAGTTTAAATCTGAACCATAACTTTGCCTTCACAAAAATAAAACAAAACTGAAACAACTTACCATTTTGAGGTTGTAACACCTGATTAACTTCTGGAAGAACATTTTCTAAAGACTTCAGAAATTTCTGACAGACCACTTTCCCTTTTCTCTGTATTAAAATGACCAATTTCCTACTTTGCGTCTCTATATCTGCTGTATTAATTAAGGTGTCATATTCCTCCTCTGTGATAAGGCATTGGGCGAGTGATTCATCTAAGATATTAGCTGAGTCCCTTTGAATACTTTTGATCAGTTCCTGTCGTTTTCTGCGTAGAATCTCCAAGGATATCTCACTGGTAGCCATTGTTTCTGAACCAGGAGACCTGTAATATAAAAGAAAACACAGTTTTTCATCAGAGGAGCAGGAAGTCATTTGTGAATCTTAAATTATTTGTTAATTATTCAGGCTAGCAAGTAAGAACCTGCCTCAGTGTCGTGAGCTCAGCCAGGTCAACAATGTGAAGAGACAACCCAAATGCTTTGGATTCCCTCTTGCAAGACAGGTGAGGAGTCTTGGAACTGGCAAAACATAGTCTCTTCAGGTGAGCGGCACTTGTGCACCCTCCAGCGCCTATGAAAAGGGATAAAGGAAGGCAATGGGCACATCAGTCCCATTGCCACAATACTCCCAATGGCAAGAACAGGCATCACCTTTTGTCACCTTTGTGCCACCATAAAAAATGTTATGGCAGCACAAAGACCAAACAGATTTCCAGGCCTCTGTCATGCCACAAGTGTGGCCATGATGAAGGTGGTATCAATTTGTGCTGCTGTTTAGCAGCAGACGTCTGTTTATTTTCGGTACTCGAGTGTGGGCAGCCCTGAGCTGCCTATGCTCCCTGGCCACACTAGGCAGGTGTTCGGGGAGCTTGAGGGGCCCAATCCTGCACACCCCAGAAATTCCCATGCAGGATCAGGCCTTCAAGGCCTGAGAAGGACTGCTTAACTTTCTCTGCGTGCACCCCAGAGATTCCAGGTTTGTGTCTTTGTAAAAAGGGAAAGGCAGGAAGCTGCTCCAGGATTGAGGAACCAATCCTGCATGGGAATTCCCCAGGTGTGCAGAATCAGGCCCCACAAGCACAGGAGAATGTCACCCATTGCCCCTGAGCAACATTTGGTGGGACAACAGATGCATGTTGTGCTCACTGAAGTGGATCAGCTGTGCACAGTTGACACACTTCATTTGGTGATGTCTGCTTCTGCCCTAAGAGCACCACTGATAATGTGATGGTATTTGAAGTTGCAAGTTTCAAATTCAGGCAGCTAGTAAATAGGGCTGTGCAAAGCATTGGTACCTGATTCGATTTGGTGGAGTTTCAGCCCAATTCGGTGGCCAAATCTCCAAATCTGAATCAAATCAGAGGACCCTTTAACCTCTCTTAATTGAAACGGATCCCTCCAAACCGATTCAGAGAGATCTGGAAAGATTCAGCGAGTCAGACATGGACGCAGGTTTAAATGTATTTCTACATACCCCAAGATAGCAGGTGGCTCATGAATGCTGAGATGCTGGGGTGGATGGAGCGTGGGGCGCATGGGAGCATGGGGGGCTCCCCAGCATGCTTGGCAGCAGATGCGGAAGTGGAGTGGAAGCACTTCCAGTCCACTTCCAGGTCTGCTGGGGAGCAGGGTCTCAGTGACTGGTACCTCCTGGGTCTGGGAGGGAACCTGGGGTCCTCCGGTGGCTGATCGCCGACAGGGGCACAGTGGCAGGAGCCCCTGCGTGTTCCCTGGTGGACCTGGAATTGGACTGGAACTACTTCTGGTCCACTTCAGGGTCCATCGGGGAGCATTTGCCCCCGCTCCCCCCTCCCCACCCGGCGCTCCTGTGGGACACTCCATCTGCCTCATCATCACCTCAAGGTATGGAGAAAAAAAACATTTAAAGCTGTGTCTATGGCCAAATCCCTGATTCTCTGAATCAGCATCGAATCTTCAGATTCGACTGAATCAAATCGGGGACAGTGATCTGAATCAATAAATCAAATCACTGTCCCCAATTCTGGTCTAATCCAAATCGAATAGGGCCCATTTTGCACAGCCCTAGTAATGAGTTTCAATTCTGGCAACATGGTTTGGTGCAGAGCTAGAGTAAAATTTAATATTGTGATTCTGCAAGGCACTGAGCTACACCTGAGCTATTTGAGAGAACTGAGAACCTCAACATAAGCACATTTCACAAGTGCTTGCATTACAAAGGCATCAGCCTCCGTGTACCTGGACAGTTTGAGAACTCAGCCAGCTTTATTTCTTCAGAAATAAGGCTGGTCAGGACTCAAAATTTCAATTTAATGAGAAAGTCTGGGACTCTGAAATTGACTTTCATTTCATTTTGGAACTAACCCTAATATTCAGATTTCTGCTTGAAACAGGATATAAAATATTACAAGCTTTCTGAGACTAAATTCATTTATCTTTTTAGTGCCAACTACTTTTCATAATCCAAGAATTACAGAATATGTGAGCCAAATCTCCGAATCAGATTTGGCCGAATCGATTTGGGACAGTGATTCGAATCACCGAATCAAATCACTGTCCCCCAAATCGGCTGAATCCAAATCCAAAGTGAATACTAGCCGCTTCGCATAGGCCTAATGGGCACATCTACACATGTGCTTTAATATTCATTAGCTTATTTTAAATTGCATTAAAGCATTGCTAAAAAAACTGTGTTCTTTAGTTAACGCATGTTAAAATAGGCTAATGTGCTTTTTCCTAATACCTCACCATGGAGGTACTAGATTTAATGCACATTAACTAAAGTGCTTTAATGCACATGTTTTTTCTCAATGCTCCTATTAATACATCCCAGTATGCTTTTGTCTTTTTTACCACAAGAGTACATTACCGGCTCATATTCAGATTTTATTCAGATTACAGTCCCCTGTTGGTTGGATTATCTGATTATGTACTATGTTGGTTGGATTATCTGATTATCCGATTTAGTACTTGCAAAAGAAAATACTAAATAAATGCACAGTAGGCTGCCCTACTATGCATTGGCACATTCACACACTTTTTTCATGATGCTTAATGTGCAGTAAATGAATAAGACTGGGCATTAGCCTAATAGTGTGGTTTTTGCTGCGACTCTGTAATGTACAATCTATATACTGCGCATTAAATGTCGCATGTAGACGTAACCTTTGAATACCTGGCTGTAAGGAGACATTGTGCTCTCAGGAGTACATAAGATTTATTGCAAGACTTGCTGTTGTCTTTTTGGTGTATTATATTGCATTATAAGTTCAACTAAATTGCCTGTGTTGTCACTGCGTCTTATTGGGCTGTATTTTAGCTTAGGTGAAGCTTTTCTATTGTTCTTCATCATGTGCTTAAAGTTGCAAGTTGCTGTGCTCAAAAAATGCTCTTGTCAGAGTATGGACTATTTTTGTTCAAGCATTCATGAATTCAGTGCCACTACCTAAAGTCTACTATTAAATCTGGTAACAAAGGTCTTTGCTGTAAAGCCTTTCTGATCCTGTACTTCTGGTTCTTTGACTCTAACCTTGTTTGGCTCTGCTCCTGGACTCTGGGGCCATTTTTAGATGTATGCACGATGCAGCACCGAGTACTTTTGGAAGCGCCGAGTGCTGAATTGTGCGCATTTGTATGAATGGCAAAACGCACATCAGTACTGAGAAAAAGGCTAAAACACATCAAAGGTATTTTAGTTCAAAAGCATACCACTACCATTTACCCAGAGCTGAAGTGCATTTTTTTATTTATACAAATGCACATGATGCATCACCAGGGGTGTCAGCTCGCATGTGGACCAGACTCAATTAATCAAGTCTGCTCCAATATGCTGGATCTCTGGCACACCACAGCATGAAAAGGTATGTGTATAAATGCCCCAGGTTTTTGGAAATACTCCTTAGCATTGGTAACCGCTGACCCCAGAACCATGATTTGACTTGTGACTTGGTTGGACTCTGCTCCTGCAATTTAATAGACACTAGCTCTTGTCTCTGGCCCACCTCTGGTAGACTCCCTACTGTGATTCTTATATTTAGAATACAGCTCCCAAATTGTAGCCACTCATGTTAACAAAGACATACAATACCAGCCCTGGGAGAAGGACAACAAAATCCTTTTGGTTGTCCCCTACAGCGCCCACCTTGAACACCTAATACACATCATTGAGACCTCCAACCACTCCCAGACAAAAATAACCAACTCAAGGTAACATCTAGGGACAAACCTGTCCTGGCTTACATACCTCAAATGAGGTCTCTCAAACAACAGGCTAATAAACCCCGCTACTCACCAAGGTACTACGCCTTGCAATGGACCCAAATGATGCCTGTTGCGTCTCCACATCAATACAGATGGTCCTAATAGCAAGGACTACAACATCCAAGGTACACTCAACTGCAATTCTTCCAATGCCATCTATGCCATCATGTGTGTAAAACATCCCTCTGCTGTCTACGTCAGACAGACAGGGCAATCTCGATGGGCACTTACACACATGCGATGAGTCTGCTCCAAAGCACTGGGTTCATCCAGTCTGCGGGAGCACGTAATTGATGCACCTGGCGCTGTGTCAGGTGTATAAGTGGTGCAGCGTGCATTAGTGCTGAGGAAATGGCAGGCGACGTTGAGTGTGCTTTAGTTCAAAGTGCGCCGCCATCATTTCTCAGTGCTGACACATGCTGTGCCACTTATGCATTTGCACTCAATGCAGCACCAAGTGCTTTTCATTAGCGTGGATCGCTAATTAAAAGTGGTGCTGAGTTGGGTACGCGTGTAAAAATGCCCTGTGTGTAAGAATGAATGAACACCAGTCTGACATCAGCTGCAGAAAGGCACAAAAGCCTGTGGCAGAACACTTCAACCTCCCTGGACACTCCAGTGCTAATCTCAGGATTGCTGCTCTCAGGCAAAAAAAGGGAAAAAAAAGGAAAAAACACATTTGAACAGGAAATTGCAGAACAAGAAATCATTCACAAACTCAACTGTGTTATATGTGGTTTCAGTAGGGACTATGGAGGCTTATCTCATTACCTGGATTAGCTTTTGTGATTCCTCTGTGCCTATGGGTTGACTGCTTGCTTGCTCCTTTCTCCGACCACTGCTCCCTCCCTGCTCTCTTCCTTATCTTTATCTCTCTCCCCACTTCCCCTGCTTTTCTTCTGTATTCTATTTTCTTTCTTCTCCTTAGTCTCTGCTTTTTGCACGTCCTTGCACAGAATCCGATTAAGTGAGCTTCAACATCCCCCGACTCCTCCTCAAAGCTTGTCCTCTCTCTCATGTATAGGTCTTATTTACCTAGCCTATAAAGGTATATATTTACCTTGTCTTCTGAGTGACTTCAGATTTACATGGTGAACTACCTCTCTCTGATCACTAGTTCAGATTGCCTCTGCCCCTGTCCTCATAGCTCCAGGTTGGATTTGGACTGGTTCCCAGTGGGCTGGATCCAGGGCTATATTGCACAGACCTCACTTAACCGTCTGCCATCAAGACTCATGTCTACAAGGGCCACAGATTCCTTGGAAGGCCCTGCATACCACTGGTCATACCTCAAACCCCATGGGAGTGAGACAGAGCAGCTCTGAAGCTGAATCTGGCCCACAAGCCAGAGGCCTGACACCCCTGCTTTAAGCATTTGGTGGCCTGTGTTCCTAAGAAAGGTGTAAGTACCTCTTAGCAAAACCAAAATCTAGTCACTGTTTCCCTGTGACAAGAAATGAGCCAGGAGTTTTGTACTGTATGTGACCATAATGTTTACAGCATTTCAGTATTTGTGCTCCAATGCTGGCTGAAGAAATGCTTCCAGTCTAGCCCCCTGCTTTTAGGTGCTTTCAAAATAATTACCCCAGGGTTGGTGGGATAGCAATGCTGCCCAGTTTTTCCTCCAGCTCCTTAGCTGCTGGTCTCATTGCAGAGCACTTGATAAGCTGTGCTGACACTGTCAGACAAAAGCAAAGTCAAGTCAATCTTTGCAGGAGCAATTGTGGAAAACAACTATGAAAACTACAGATCAAATGCTTTCATAAGCTGGAACGAAGGGTGAAAAGCCTCAGTAAAATATAAGAGTTAGGGGCCTTTCAAGAATATTGATGTGACCAAAAGGCAAATATTGGAAAGCTGGAAAAAAAAATCACAGGAGTACTTACCAGAATCTATTGGTGTTGAAAAGATAAATAAAATAGATAACACAGGAAATGATGAATTAAAACTAATGGTTGCCTGAATCTTAAAATGGCTGCTCATCAGAGCTGGGCTACACCTGCCAGGAGCCTCTTCAGGCTCTTAAAGCGGCAGACCCCAGAGGTGCTCCGTCACGTGTAGATACATAGATGCTAGGGTGGGAAGGGACCTCAACAGATCATCGAGTCCGACCCCCTGCCCTGGGCAAAAAAGAGAGCTGGGGTCACATGACCCCAGCCAGGTGCTTCTCCACTAGGGCTGTGCAAAGCTTCAGTCCCTGATTCGATTCAGCAGCGATTTGGCCCGATTTGGCCCAACGCTTTAATCTCTCCAAATCGAATCAGAACCCTCTGTATCAACTCAGAGAGATTCAGAAAGATTCGGAGATTCAGACATAGACACAGCTTTAAATGTTTTTTTCTACATACCTCTAGGTAGCAGGAAGCTCACGAAGCACCAGAAGCACTTCCAGTCCACTTCCAGGTCTGCTGGGGAGCGCGCAGGCCCGCTCTCGCCCCCCCACCATGTCCCCCCAGCTCAGCAACTGTGGGGGGAGCCCCCGGGGCCCCCTCGTGCCCAACTGCTGAGCCAGGGGGGTGCAGAGGGACCCTCCAGCGTGCCCCCCCGGTGGACCCAGAAGTGCTTCTGGTCCACTCCCGGGTTCACCGCCAAGCACATGGAGGGCCCCCCTCCCACACACACACGCACTCGCACACGCACACACACACAAACACACGCACTGCTGTGGGGCGCTACATCCGCCCCAGCATTGCAGCATTCATAAGTCACGCTGGTACCTCCAGGTATGTAGAAAAAGCATTTAAAGCTGCGTCTATGGCCAAAGCGCTGATTGTCTGACTCAGCATCGAATCTTCAGATTCCTCTTCACACTCTCATCCAAGTCACTGATGAAGACATTGAACGTCACTGGTAAAGGACCAAATCTTGGGGAACTCCACTGCCATGCCAATGTTGACCCATCCACTACCACTTTCTGACCCCCTGTGTTGTAATACACAACCGTGACATGAGTTTGGCTTTCAAGAATTTGGGGCACAGTTCCCCCCAAGCCCTCACACCAATCTTCTTGAAACTTGGCAGGTTTCATGCTCTCATCAGAGGCTACCATCCCTGCAGGTTTCATCCAAATCAGTCAAAAAACAACAAAGTTATAGATATTTCATTGATTCCCCATTATACCCCATGGCTGGATCTCCAAGGCAGCTCCGAAGCTTTGGCCGGATTGAGGTGGAAACCCGGTCCTGAGCTCCGAATCGGATCGGATCGTGGCCATCCAAAGCAGCTGGATCCAAAGCCAGATCGGATCGCTGCTGATTCACACAGGCCTATCAAATACCCTTGAGTGCATTAATAAATAAGGTGGGAAATAAATACTCTCTCTTTGGAATGAGCATTTCTGAATTAGCAGACCTGGAACTATTGCACTGGAGCTTGTTTAAAGAAAGACATTGAATTAACACATGAATCGAGAATGCTGAGAGAAGGTCTAAAGGAGAAATACCTTGGGAAAGGTTCACACATCCTGGCTCTTGGTCTCGCTGGGTCTGTGCTTCCTGCCTCTGCGTGACTCCACACTTCTGTATTGGTGTTGAGACTGGGTGGGTGTCTGCTCCCCGCATCTGACTTGCACCACCATTCTGCCCAGATGGTTGGGCTTGTTGAGTCTGTGATCTCTGGCTCTGACTGACACTACCTTTTTCCCCCCAAGTCCTGGTTTTTGCTGGGTCTGCACCCTGTGTCTCTGGCTGACATCAACTTTGTCTCCTTGCTTTGGGGCTCGCTGGGTCTCTGCTCCCTGTCCTATGGTATTAAATTTCCTCACCAGTTCAGAAACAGAGGTCTGTTTCTGAGTGCTCTCCTGACTGGATCTGCCTTCCTTTCCCAGCTCTGAGGATTTATGAGCATGTGCTCCCTGCCCCTGAGTGTTGCCAACTTTCCTCCCCAACTCTGGAGTCAGTGGGGCCTGTGCTCCCTCCTGCTGAGTGACACTAAGATTTCCTGGTGCTTCTGGGTTTTGGAAAAAACTTGTTTCCTCGGTTTGTGGTAAATCCTGGTGTAAATCATCCTTGGCCCCTAGGATTTCCTGAGACTGTGATTCCAGCTCTTCATTTTTCTCACCTAAAAGAAGAACCAGCAGAGAAATAAACTGTCAGTGCTAAATTAAAGCTTCTCTCTCTCTCAGCAGATACAAGCATCTTCTCATTTTCTCTGTTGTAGGAATGCAGTAGCAATGGGCAGCCCAGAGGCAAGACCGTCTGCCTCTGTAATTGAAGCAGTGGCCCACAGCTTCTAACATCAGTTCAGTCCCTTCCTCCTACACCTGACCAAGTAGATGCTTAATAAAAAGGGGGCACTTGGGCTTTGTGTTCTGGCCTCCACATATCCTAGAGCTGAGGATCCGAACCAACGATTCCTATGTTAAATCCACAGCCCCAGTACACTTTCCAAGCGATTGCACGCATCTCCGATTGTCTGGCTGAGGACTTGTACCCCGTGTGCGCGGTGGTAGTTCAGTTCTGATGGCCTGGGCTTATACTGAGGCTGCCCAGGCTCTTCCTCCAATCCAAGAGCCCTCTTGCAGTCATGTGACTGTCTTGATAGGCCTTATCACATCTCCCAGCTGCTCCACAACCTGT